GGTCGGAATATATGAGTTGCGCGGGAAAAGGGCATCGAGGGTCGGATTAAAGCTCAGTTCTGATGCTTCTATGGGCGTTTCAACGGTCGATTGCAACTAAGCGCAGCAAGTCGTCCCTCCTCAATCCTCGAATTCCATCCATTCACTTTTTTTTTCGCTAGATTATCTTCCTGACCGCCTCTCGATACGAGTGCCGGGTGATAATCGGAACAAATAAAACGCAGACATATTTCACGTTGACATCGTCGACGTTTAGAGGACTCCTCTTATGAGGTACGTTGTGCTCAGTTTCGCTGCCAAGACAATTCTGACCATTTTGCGATTACTCATCCCACCTCGGGGCCCTGGGAGATGACTCTGGGATGAAGGCAAGGACACACAAAGCCTGCAATATTTTGAAAAAGTGATTGCTATCTCTCGAAATAGTTTGAAGGGTTGGGCGTATCTGTCCATATAACCCAGCTTTGGTTTCCATCCTTCCATCAAAGCACAGTTTCTCGATGGCATACATTTTTTGTATATGGCTTGCCTCGATACTATCATTAGCTAGAGCGAGAAATGTTAAGGGAGCTGTGTTGATTCATGTTTAGTTTCGATCTTACGAAGGACATGGAACGATCGAATCCGAGGAGCAATATGGGAGCTCTTGGAGTACTACCCTGAGCCGGTGACTTCTTTAGGGGCCGGGTGGATGTTGTATGCGTATATGGACTCCACCCAGCTAAAGATTCGAATTTCGAATGATGAGGAGCTCTAAAGGCTGGTAGAAAATAAGCGGTTGCCTTGTATATTGTTAGCCTACTATAGTTGTCTCATCGACTGCACCAAACATCTGCCCCAAACCAGACTCATACTTTCGGCCCCACAAGCAGAACAAACGACGTCAGTCAGAAATCGGGGACATTCGATGTCCTGACCGAAAGCTACCTGGGGCAACGATAGGTCGAATGGATGCTTGGCCTGATCATGAGGGCTCGTGTGAACCCTTCGATACATTCTCAGGGAGTTGTACAGGGAATTCTTTGGCGCTGTTTAGAATGCATCCATCTCGGTCTACTACTCTCAAATATGTATGTTTCCTTGATTAGTGAATCAGACGTAGATCCAGTGGTATTGTCATCTTCTCTAATATTAAAGCTCGACCATCTTGTATAATAGACTTCAAGTTGATCATCATTTACAGGGGGTGATTCTAACTCAACTGTGTGGGATCAAGTTGTTGGGTCTGGTATTATGAATCACGAATAACATGCTCCTGATAAGAAAAATAGGGGTGATTGTATTGGTTTCCTGATATCTTCTCAACATCTAAGGCAAATCAAACGCATTTCATCAACATAAGGTCTTGTCAATTCAAAAATGGTCGCAATTTCCCTTCAACACCCTTGACGTGGGCCGAAAATGGTTGTTCTAGTTAAGAATAGCTTCTCTGGACCATTCATTGATGCATTCCCGATTGATTACTATCCTTTTCACCTGCAATATAGATGTCCGTTCGCGATGTGCAGTTGCGTCAGGATGGCGATTGTTTCTATGAAGTTGTCGTGCCGCTCTAACTACGTTGCATTCCTTTGATGGATAGTCGACTTCTGGATGGAATCTAACCGGTCAACTCCCAGGATCACATTTGCGACTGATTTACTGGTGGAATTCGGAGTGGGATTGAGACGATTGTTGAAGATATAAATAAGAGAATGCCAAAAATTCATTTTATTCAGACCATCTCATCTTTCACAGTATTATCTATCTCGTTTTCATCTTGATCAAGCCGTTCATCTCCTATACTTCACAGTAAATCACAATGGCAGGTATGTATATCACATCGGTTTTTGTGCATTTTATCGCGTATACTGACAATTTATTATCGGGTGATCACAGTTGGACTTCTCGTACCTCTCAACGCTAAATCCGACAAGATTACAGCAACCGCCGAGTTTCTCGACAAGGGTGCTGTCCTTGTTCGAAACGAACCTCTGACAAGCCAATGGTTCGCCTTGAAATACGCAAAGCCAGAGGAGACTTATGCTATCTTTGATACCTTCGAGTCCAATGAGGGCAGGAACGCTCATCTTGGTGGACCCATCGCTGAGGCTCTGCTCGCACACGCACCCACCCTGCTCAGCTCACCCCCTGATATTGGTCACGTCGATGTTCTTGCCAGTCGCGTCGATCCTCTCAACTCCGATGAGAAAAATGCTGGAGTCTCCGTGGGTTTGAGGGTCCTATTTACCGCAAAGGAGGACAAAATTCAGCAAGTCAGGGACTTTTTAATTGTGAGTAATCCCTCAATTCAATATTTATCGCACAGGGTGTGTCAGAAACCTGTCTGTTTTCTCCGTCGTTCACATGAACACGTCGAGTTTCCACCCTGGGTGATTTTCCTTGATTATAGGACTATCATGCTCCGGATAACCAGCAACGTTGTGTACGGACATAGTACACACGGCCATGCATAACACTTCTCTCACCTTTAAATGTTTGTCTTTATGGGGTGACAGCTGACATATCTTTTGACACAACTAGGGTGCACTCCCACTCGTGAACGACGAACCAAGTACCGTCGTATGGTACGCAATTCATTTCCCTGGGACGGCCAATTTCGGTATTGTCGACTTCTTCCCTAATGAAGAGGGTCGAAAGGCCCACCTGAACGGGAAGGTTGCTGCAGCACTTTTTGCATCGGTTGATGAATTACTGACCGGTACACCCGATGTCATCCCCGTCGACGTGCTTGCTGCCAAAATAACTGTCTGATCAGTGTAGCATTGGGACAGTGCCACGTCAAATTTACCTACGAGTAGTGTTTCCAGCACCCCTTTCTATATGTACCGAGGAATCAATAACAAATCTAAGCGATGTTTTGCGCGGTTAACACCCTTTTATCTCACATCTGCCCCTAGTCCTTTGCTTGTACGATATCTGGCGTCTTATTTGGCATGTGACGAACTCGAGAGACTGCGATGTAGGCATGTCCGTCTGAGGGATGTGTAGTATACCTCGACACCACGTTGTTCAAGCAAGGCTTAAATACGCCTGGGAGGGTGTTTCTTCGTCAACATTTTTCCTCTCATCCACTGCCCCTCGTTCCTTCCCAGTGGCGAAGAAGCACCGTCTTGGAACACGTAAATTCTCCACACTTCCGTCACCATCTTCGCACCAGACAAGCCCCTGAAAACTTACAAAGCTTCGATAGTACTCAGTATGGCCAATGTCAATAACAACAAATTGTCGGAAAGGCAAAATAGTGATATCAATGACACCGCCTCTATGCAAACATTTCATCCACTTTTCAACTCTCCTGATGCTGATGTTATTATTATCTCGTCGGAAGCCACAAGATATCGTGTTCACTCATTTATCCTTCGAAACACCAGCAGTTTCTTCCGCAATCTACCAGCCTTAGTCCAGAGACAGCAACAACAGCAACAACATCGCAACCCGCACACGACTCCAACGTCCTCAACAACGACCAGCACAACATCCGCACTACCACCCCTCATCATCGACCTAAGTGAGAGCGATCGTGCATTAACCAAGGTGCTCAGCATGCTGTGTGGGCTATATACAGAGGCATGGGAGTCGATCGAGGATGCGGAGGATGCACTGAGCCTCATTTCCAAATGGGATGCTCCGGGGCCACTTTCTGTCATTCGCACCGCGATCACAGCTCCCCTCTTCCTGGCGTCTCCCATCAGGCTATACGCCATTGCTACAACGTTTGGATGGGAAGAAGAAGCACAGCTTGCTGCCACACGCACGCTAACCCTTGACCTGTACGACGAAGAGCATAAACCACACCTAGAACGTATTAGATCAAAGCATCTACTCCGTTTGCTTCGGCTGCATCGATCCCGTCGGGATGAGTTCAAGAAACTGCTGGACTCGGACGGGATGTTTGAGGCGGGGAACTCACCGCGGTATATCTGTAATGGATGTGGGGAGCAACTCTGTAATCAGACCTGGAGGGAGCTCAAGATCCGGATGTTCATGGAGCTTGATAAGCGGCCCGCTGGTGATACCCTGTGCGGGCTGGAGATGGAGGAGTGGCCTGAGGCGATGGCATGCTGGGAGGCGTGTTGTGCGAAAACTGGATGTGGCCGTTTGAATTATAATAAATTAGAGACTTTGCGGGACATCAAGGTGTGCGTAGATAGACTGCCCACGAAATTATGATATCGTGGTGATCCGGATCGTTAGGGTTTGTACGGCGGTATGCGGTATTTAGGGTGTAGCACGACATTTAAATGACATTCATCTCGGAATATTTAGCCGAATGCTTCCTCGACTTGCAAACTTTGTATTACAGAATGCGTCATAGAGGTGTTGGCAAGAACACGAGGCAAATTTTCATGTGTTTGTTCACGTTGAGGCAGCAGTCAATGGTCGGACAATGAAATACAAACGGATACTATAGTGTCATATACGACAGATGCCTTTTGATTAAGAAGACAGTGGATATCTAAGATTACCATTTCAATTTATACTCAGTATCGTCAATGTCGATGATTGATGAATTGACCGGCCCATCAAGGCGCCAAACGAATCGACGGCTTCTTTGAGGTTTGATCGCATCACTGACAGTAACATTGCCTGAAAATGACTGAACCTTTGACTCGTATCGAGATGATAACACAACTCTTAGAACAACGCGCTCTCAAAATAGAATTTAACCAACTGAGAGAGCGCCCGTACTTCCACTATGTGATGTTGACATTAAGGCCCGGAACAAAGGGTGGCTACTGATACGTCGCCCTCATCGGATATGGTGTAACGGCTAACATTGCCGCCTCTCATTCTGAGGGTGACCGCGGCAGCGCGGGGTTCATTTCCCTGTATCCGAATATCTTTTTCTCTGCGAAACGAGAGATACGAAAGGCGCAATAATTTCTCTGTCACCCATTTAGGTAAGCGCAATGGTCAAGGAGAGAGACTGGTCTATATTGACAACTGACCATAGACGCCTGCAAAAAAAGTAGACTGACCACTGGATTGGAAATATGTTCGAATACGGGGAATCAAACCACGAGCTACCGCGTGAAAAGCGATCATGTTAGCCGTTACACCATACTCGACTACGCCTTCGAAGTCTGGGGAGCGCTGGAGGAAGGCACAACTGGACTATTGATAGAGCTACGAGAGGCGAGTCAAGGCTACGATTGTGCATTAATTCTGCTGTTATGCGTAAGTTTTAAGACGAAAACCACAGATGGACTGGTTAGAACTGAGTGATCGGTACAAAAGTGTTCAACATTTAATCTTGACCCCCGAGTTGCGGGCGATTGAAAATCGAAATCGTCAAGTGAAAATAAGTATATATAACGATTTAATATATATATTATGTACGAACTAGCAATCAACGCAAGCCCTCTACATTTCATGCACTCATGAAGTCGCGCGGTGATGTATTTACATATCGAGAGGAAATAAAGAAAGTGGAAAATAGCAGGATCAAATATAGCATAACTTATGAGAGCAATATCGAAAGAGAGGAGGTGAAAAGTGCAAAATAGGTATAAAAAAAACTCATCGATATCCTCGACTAAGGTGGGAGCGCGCAGGATCTTAGGCCGACGCGTTGCTCAGACGAAGGGCGCCTTCACGTACTTCCTGGTTTTTCGTATCCTTCAACACATTGATAGCAGCTTGTTGCTTTGCCGCCTTCTCACTGAGACCGCAGCCATGGTATACGACGCCATCAACTAATTAGTTACAAAACAGAGTTAGTTGTGGAAGCATCGGGCTTGCTTCAACTTACGCTTTATAGAAATGGTCCACGTTTCTTTATGCTTGGGTCCACCTCTGCTCGCCTCCACCTCTAAATGCTTGTGCAGCATTTCAGCTGTGGTGTGAACTGCGTGGAAGGCGCCAGTGACTGGTAATAATGGTCAATGCTTGTATAGGATCTATATGAATACCACCAACTTACTTTCTTCGACGTTGCTGATCATGATCGAAAAACGAATGCTTGATGCTTGGGGACCTATATCCACGATGGGTGCGGTATTTAACTGGCGGCTGGTCTTCTAGCGCACCGTGAAGTAAAACACTCATCGGGGCTATAGTGCTCAGAAATATTTGATTAGATCTGTAAAATGCTGTTGAAGCTGTATTTCGTTGTCCATAACGTTCGTACTTACTCCATTGCGTCACTTCGCCGTGACTATGTGTCTGTTGACAGTTCCTGTCCAACACTATCGTATATTGGAAAATTTCTGGCTCTGGAATTTTAGAATAGTTATGATCCGCTCGAGATTTAGACTGGTGTAGAAGACTTCCTGGTGTCTGGGACGGGTCTATTATTTAACAGATGCAGTCACCGACTGCGCATTCGACATAAAATAATAAGGCGTATATACACCTGTGACAACCGGCTCGCTAGCTTTTGATAGCATCGCTATAGTCCGCCCAACGCTCCTCCTCTCCTGATGGTCTCAGGCGCTAAAACGCAAAGGGAGCACAGATATGCGTGCCCATTACGTCCGAGCAGTTTGACGTGCGGTGAATTGAGACGATTAAAGCCGATCCTTCGAAGCAAGCACAATCCAAGCTCTGACCTATGCAGAACCAGTAATGAGTACGCTGTATTATTGTCTGAACTGTCTATTGTTTATTTACCGGAAGTACCGGCAATGCAGAGTTTAAACGCCTTCGAGATGACTCTACTCAGTGTTGTCCACACGACGACAGAGTTTTCTAATAAGTATCGTACGTTTGCCCTGGAGACGTACTGCCTTTCTTCATCTTTTACATGACGAGTGTGAGACACCGTCAGTTAGTCAGTGCCTATGATCTGAATTGACTGTTGGGAGTTGCAACTTGAATCAGTGACAATCTCTCGTTGTTGATTGATCGAACGCGACTGTCACAAGCATCATGTGCAATGTAACATGTCACGATCGGCCCTCATAAGCCCCGGTGCTCAAGGCACAGCGTGTAGACACTGGAGTAGCGCACAGATCGAGAGTAACAAATCAATTTAATATCTGTAATTAGGCCCTGAGTACTGGTATAGCCCTCTTGATCAGCCTACGTATTCAAGCAATTGCGGTCATTGTACCGCTGTGCTTCTCTTTTGTTTCAAGCAACTCGAAGTGACATCGCCACAGCTGAACTGCGCCTGCGTAGTGTGAATGATTACCGAGCTCTTAGGTATGCGCGCATGCTACTAGCACTGCATATTTACGAGTTCATGCAGTTGATATATAACACGTATGAGAAATCTTTTCTGCCGAACCCGACATTTGGATTTGGTCCAATTTATTGAAAATGTCCCTGCTACCAATTACTTCGGAAATGAATTATTGTACGTCCCAGACATATGTGTGAGGCATTTATTACTGAGATTCAGGACCATCTATGCTTCGAGCCCCTAACTGTCAATGATATGAGTCGCGATCCACGCGTTGGGAAATGAGCACGTGCTCACCAGAATTACCCAAATCGGCACACCTCATGTTCCAAGTCAACTGCGATCCTTTCTCTTTGTCGTTGACCATGACGGCGAGCACCTCTCAAGCAACGAAACCCAGTAATATACTACATGGTAAGCCCAAATTACAACTACTCAGTCTTACTTACATTTTTTCTTTGCATTTTAGTTCAAAAACGACGTAGAATAAGTAAAGCTGCGACATCGCCGTCGTCGTCGATGGCGACGAAGATTTTGGGCCCTGCTACGAATAGGGGATCAAGTCAGTCGTCTACGTGTGGTTCCTGCTATCGATATATTGGCATGAATATAAGTAATGCCACACAATGTGCCAGGTATGTGTGGATCGATGGCTGTTACAACATGTGGTGGCCTTGTTAACACTGCCCTCACCATCAGATGTTTGTCTACGAGTTGTACCATATGCTCGAGGACATGTACAGCGTTTACAAATTCACAGCCCTCAGTGCCTAACCCTGCATGGTCTCAGACTACTACTTTAGCATCATCTAAGCGTGGGGTGGCGTCCTCACTGTCAGCTGAGCCAAACGTGTTGCTTCCGGAGGCGAACCCTCATTCCAGTCAATCGGCCAAAAGGAAGAAAATATTTGACGATGATGAAGCCACAAAATCTGTGCAGGAAGCGGAAGAGGATGGATTCCGAGATGTCATCGTCGCTGGATGCGGTAGAGTTGTCTGTCGCAACTGTTGTGCTGAAAATATAGCTGAGTGAGTTTCTATCCATCTTTCCACCAAATAGGACTTGCTAACTGGTGTCCAGGGGTACCACTTCATGCTATGATTGTTTGAATTCGTGACATCTCCCTTTCACGCCCCCTTGGAACGAATTCTCTTTTTTTCAATATCGCTATAATCAAGGCCGTTTCTGTTACTATTTATCCATGGATCATGTTATTTTTCCCTCACAACACCGACACTCCTATTTTACTACTTCCTCGGCGCTTTATTCTTGTATTACCAGCTGTTATTTGTATTTTTTTCATGATTTTCCACTCTATGCATTTCATTCATTACTGCGCCTCGTGTTTACATTCCCACTCAACTTTTATAATCACCGATATTATTCATCGCCTTTCTTGCGTTGATTATCGCTGCTTCCTCGCTCGCGGTGCTCGGAGCGTAGGCATTCCGTCCCAACACAAGTATAACTGTGCGCGAATCTACTGTTTGATTAAATATTTCGCTTACCTGCCTCGTTTCCTAGTAATTTCCTTGCTGGTCGGGTCGGTTGTCGCGTCGTCTTATAGGGACGCGTTCCTAATCTTGTCAAGTCAATTATGCTTACTACCACCCAACGTTAATATTAAGGATATTTGCATAGTCGTTGGTGATTCTTAGGTTCGTTGGGCCATTGCGCATCGGCGTGTTCGTAATGTTATAATTGTTCTCGTACTATTTTTGATGTTTTTTTACTCAGCTTTTACTCCATCTACTTTAATGCTTATGCGAAAGTATGCATCTCAACACTTGTTCATTGGATTTCTGATCGATGGCGCAGACTTACACACAAACCTCAAGCCCGGTTGACTCCACTTTGGGTTTACAGAAAAAAAAAGCCGTCAATCAACTACAAGAAATTTTCCTCAGTTCATCGTGCTGCAGCGATATGAAGATCTGTTCCGCATGATATGGAGACAGATCTCCCTTCATACATGCATGTTATTTTTGCACCTTCAATTGAGGTGCGTTAGGAGCTCTTTTTGCACAGGATCCTGCCTGAACTGACTCGGAACCCATTTCTAGCTCTACTCGCTCGCTGTTTCCCTGCAATATCCTCCATTTCAAGCGTCGTGTCCCCGACCGTCTGGTCCTCATTTTTGTGTCCGCTTTCTTGGTCGGATTTTATGTGACTTCCATTCTTCCAATGTGCGACGGTAAAGGCATGGAAAGCGCAGTTCAAGCTTCTGGAAAGTTTGTCTGCATCCCATTACTTTCTTCCTCAGTACTTTGACTGACTGTCAGATCGGAACCCATAGTAATAGCATTTTGTCGACGAAGAGGCTTACTGGAGAATTCTTGTGTACAAGTGCTCCTTTCTAGAAGCTCTCATACTGGTTATTGTCTGTCCAATAACGACTATGTCGAGTCAGCCATGACTCGATATCCGTGCTCAGACACTAAACCAGACGTGGGATTTACTGGTGCAATCGATTTTGCAATTCGCACTCAACCCAGAGAAGCTGACAAGCAACAACGCGTTATAGAGACAATACCGTGCTCAAAACATTCTACGACGTTTTTATTTGTCAAGGAGTGTAGAGGTGCACCACAGCTCACTTTTGCATGCGTCCACGCCGATTTAAGTTAGAGTGCTGCTATACTCGGTCATGGTATGTATTCTTTTACTACGATTGTGTGCACGTTGATGATTTAGACGTCGAGGAACACTCTCTGAGGGATGTCGATGACGTAGTTTTTGCGGGGGGATTCTAAAATAAGATACCACCAATTTTGGACTGTCGGTGTGCTTTTTTAGTGCTCCTTGTCAACTTATTCATTGTTATCGAAAATGATCAACCTGGCGGTAAAAATCGTGTAGTATACCCGGAGCCGTTTAGACCTGCTCCATGCCATTTGGTACCCTAATTTTTTACTATCTTTGAACTAGGTTTTATCACTCCA